ATTTGCATTTTAATGAGGGAAATAAGTATTTAACCCCCTTTCAATCAGAAAAGATTTCTGGCTCCCAGGTGTCTTTTATACAGGTAACGAGCTGAGATTAGGAGCACATTCTTAAAGGGAGTGCTCCTAATCTCGGCTTGTTACCTGTATAAAAGACACCCGTTCACAGAAGCAGTCAATCAATCAGATTCCAAACTCTCCACTATGGCCAAGACCAAAAAGCTCTCCAAGAACTAGGAGGATCTTGTCAATGATCTCAAGGCAGCTGGGACCATAGTCACCAAGAAAACAGTTGGTCACACACTACGCCGTGAAGGACTGAAATCCTGCAGCGCCCGCAAGGTCCCCCTGCTCAAGAAAGCACATATACATGCCTGTCTGAAGTTTGCCAATGAACATCTGAATGATTCAGAGGACAATTGGGTGAAAGTGTTGTGGTCAGATGAGACCAAAATGGAGCTATTTGGCATCGACTCAACTCGCCGTGTTTGGAGGAGGAGGAATGCTGCCTATGACCCCAAGAACACCATCCCCACCGTCAAACATGGAGATGAAAACATTATGCTTTGGGGGTGTTTTTCTGCTAAGGGGACAGGACAACTTCACCGCATCAAAGGGACGATGGACAGGGCCATGTACCGTCAAATCTTGGGTGAGAACCTCCTTCCCTCAGCCAGGGCATTGAAAATGGGTCGTGGATGGGTATTCCAGCATGACAATGACTCAAAACACACGGCCAAGGCAACAAAGGAGTGGCTCAAGAAGAAGCACATTAAGGTCCTGGAGTGACCTAGCCTCCAGACCTTAATCCCATAGAAAATCTGTGGAGGGAGCTGAAGATTCGATTAGCCAAACGTCAGCCTCGAAACCTTAATGACTTGGAGAAGATCTGCAAAGAGGAGTGGGACAAAATCCCTCCTAAGAAGTGTGCAAACCTGGTGGCTAACTACAAGAAACGTCTGACCTCTGTGATTGCCAACAAGGGTTTTGCCACCAAGTACTAAGTCATGTTTAGCAGAGGGGTCAAATACCTATTTCCCCCATTAAAATGCAAATCAATTTATAACATTTTTGACATGCGTTTTTCTGGATTTTGTTGTTGTTATTCTGTCTCTCACTGTTCAAATAAACCTACCATTAAAATTATAGACTGATAATGTCTTTGTCAGTGGGCAAACGTACAAAATCAGCAGGGGATCAATTACTTTTTTTCCCTCACTGTATATTGTTTCTCTCGTTTAAGGCCGCAGTATTATTGACAAATGTGTTGAGTTTTGTGCTACGAGTGCTCACGTAAGACTAATCTCAAAAGCATATTGAGGTGGAGGGGGGGGGGAGTGGAATTAAAAGCCGTTATCTGAATTAAATACTTTCTCCATCATAGTAATGTGGAATTCCCATGGTAGAGATGAGCACGGCCCAAAATTAACTCCATGTTGTTTCAAAGCGGAGTGTGCGAATGAAATACATTTTTTTCCTTTTGCTAATATTGTGTCACTACAAACCCCATATTTGTGAACCATTATGAACAATGGATAGATATGTGTGGTGTAGCCTGCATTAGGTGGGGAGCAGCAGTTCAGCAGTTAGCACGCTGCGCTATGAAACCGGCGACCCAAGTTCGATTCGCAGACACGACTAACACTGGTGATGATTATCTGAACAAGTCTTGGGCCTAGATTTGAAGCTTTCGTGACTCACGTAGGTAAAAAATGAAATTAAAATTAATTTCAATTTCATTTTTTACCTACGTGACTTTACCGAAAGAACTAAGAGTATGAAGTCTTGGGCCACCCCTAGGTCGAGTCAGCCTTAAATCAATACGTGGTGTGCGATGTGTAAATATCACCAAAAGCCGCTGACCGTGGTGCTGGACACCCACACCCTCGTGTGCTGCATCGGCCTTCATAGGTGCTCGCTAACAGCACTTGCCCCAACAGTCTGTTGAGACTATACTGGAGCATATTTATCTTTGTAGCCTGCATTCGCAGCAGCTGCGAACCTGTATTAGCTACAAAAATCATTGGTCCCTGTCCATACACTGCTTATAGTTCTTGAGCCATTGGTCCAAAAGGGGCTCATCACCTCCAGCCATGGTCACAAATGTTCGTAGCAACTGTTAGTTAAGTAAAAAATAAAATACATAGATCACAAATATGTACGATCTCCATACATGTGATCTAAGTGGTAGATGTTGTTTTGTTTTTGGACAAAATATGTTGCGATAATAATTTACGCTTCTAAAGCACCTTTGACCCAGAGATAATAAGGCGCCGTACAAAACACAGCCGCACGTGCAGGCCTACACCAAATAAAATCAAAACCCGAAGCAAAGGATTCAAGAAATATAAAAGGCCATTAGAAATAAGTGCATCTTTTGGCACGATTCATATAAAACGAGGGAGTCAGCAGAGCAAACGTCCATCGGAAGTGAATTCCATGTTTGATCGATAATAAATTGCTTTAGAAGGAAAAAAAGAAACCCGAATATGCAATTAAACATACCGCAGAGTACGAATCTAAAACGGTAGCATGTCTATAATGCAGGCGGTGAATACGCTAAGATTACTACTATTGCTGTTGTATATGCAATTCTGTATGTTGAACTTCTTTCGCACCGTACAAAGCCAACCGTGCGAATCGGAAGTTCCGGCCTTTGATGTGTGTCGTGCGAAGCAGCTGCAATCAATGCACGTGCGATCAAATGACAGCGTTGCACGTGCAGCTGTGAGCACTCGATTCAAGTGGACGGCGTGGGGGGGGGTGGAATGCTGCCTCAGATCCAAATTCTCTCTCCCCTCTTCTTCACCCATCCCTCCCGAGAATGTCCGAGCCGATCCTGTGAACGCGCGGCGGTCAGGGTGCTCTATGCATATGCATTCGCGAAACACGGCGTGAATGAATGCCCGGAGTCGATGAGCACGCACTCCTCTCGATCTGTCAACGTCGTTTTTATTTTTTTGATTCAATGATACGCGAATTGTTCATGATGGAGACAATGGTAGTGATTTTGGAACACGCGCACGTTTGTGCACCCCGGTGCCTTTGGCTTAATTTGTTAACTCGAAATTTTCCAGAATTCTGCCAGCAAAGGTTGGCTTTCAGTGGGAGTAAGGATTATATCGGCATAAGGCACTAGCACTTAGAGTAACAAGGTAAGCCCGCAATCCTGGATAATTGTACCCTGTATTCCAATACTACTGCAATCCACTGTTTGATGAAGAGAAGATAATACATCTTGACTTAAAGCTTTCGTGAATGCAGGAATTCATACTCTAAAATATAGCCAAAAAATCACCTGAGGACGATTGGTTGCGATCGAAACGTCGCGATTTTTTGTATTCTTTTTCTTCTATCTACGTGACTTTACCGAAACACCCAAAGAGTAAGATAATACATGGCCAGATGAATATGTCGTGCCACAACATTATTCTTGGAAACAGCGTTTCGGAATATCCCGGCGTGAAATGAAAGCATTGTGATAGTAACGGGGGGTGGTGGTGGGGGGGGAACCACCAACAGCAACCGCAGGGCCGCTTTTATTACATCTCGTCGACTTTAGCGGAGATGCATTGATTGAGAGTTGGAATTCACGGTCAGGTTCAAAATACTAAGTCTGACTGTGGGCTCCGTGTGGCCGGGGCGGGACTAGCGGCGCGCCCGAGGTCAATGCCGGCACCGCTGAGACCGCTATCTCATTGCGCTCTCACGTGCTAGGGAAGAGCAGAGATGGTGTAGCAACACACACACACACACAACACACGCGCTGGTATAGCAACACACACACACACACAACACACGCGCTGGTATAGCAACACACACACACAACACACGCACTAGGCAAGAGCAGAGATGGTGTAGCAACACACACACACACAACACAGGCGCTGGTATAGCAACACACACACACAACACACGCGCTAGGCAAGAGCAGAGATGGTGTAGCAACACACACACACAACACACGCGCTGGTATAGCAACACACACACACACAACACACGCGCTAGGCAAGAGCAGAGATGGTGTAGCAACACACACACACACAACACAGGCGCTGGTATAGCAACACACACACACAACACACGCGCTAGGCAAGAGCAGAGATGGTGTAGCAACACACACACACAACACACGCGCTGGTATAGCAACACACACACACACAACACACGCGCTAGGCAAGAGCAGAGATGGTGTAGCAACACACACACACAACACAGGCGCTGGTATAGCAACACACACACAACACACGCGCTAGGCAAGAGCAGAGATGGTGTAGCAACACACACACACACAACACAGGCGCTGGTATAGCAACACACACACACACACAACACACGCGCTCGGCAAGAGCAGAGATGGTGTAGCCACACACACACACAACACACGCGCTGGTATAGCAACACACACACACAACACAGGCGCTGGTATAGCAACACACACACACAGCACACGCGCTAGGCAAGAGCAGAGATGGTGTAGCAACACACACACACAACACACGCGCTGGTATAGCAACACACACACACAACACACGCGCTCGGCAAGAGCAGAGATGGTGTAGCCACACACACACACACAACACACGCGCTGGTATAGCAACACACACACACACAACACACGCGCTAGGCAAGAGCAGAGATGGTGTAGCAACACACACACACAACACACGCGCTAGGCAAGAGCAGAGATGGTGTAGCAACACACACACACAACACACGCGCTAGGCAAGAGCAGAGATGGTGTAGCGAGACACACAACACACGTGCTAGGGAAGAGCGACACACACCACACGCACAATCTCTGGAACAGCTAAGCCGAGTAGCGCGCACCGACACGCATAACGCACACAACTCGGTCACACACGCGCACACACGCGCAAACTCCTCCGAGTATCAAGTAGCTCATCGCCACTTGTGCCAGCCTAATATCGAGATTTTCGGATTCTTCCATTCCCTCGCATTGCAGCAGGGAAGGGAGGGGAGTGAAGGGAGGGGAGGTGGCAATCGCTCGCCCTGTGCCCACCACGCGAGCGTGGACCCCCACCACCCCCCCCAATGTGGGCGTCTGCAGGGACGAACTCGCGCCTCTCTCGCCGCAGCTGCGCTCATCCCGCCGCTAAGCGGACAACGAGAAGTGGCGGGTAGCCGGAGTTGCGCTGCACGAGTGCTGGAACCCCGTGCATGCGACTCCCCCTTTCTCCGAAGACGTTCGCTGCGCAAGCCCTTCACGTCCGCAGCTCGCGCGGGCTGGATTAGCGGTGGTAGCTGGAGTGGTGGCGGTGGTGGGTGGTGGGTGGTGGTGGTGGTGGTGATGATGATTCTCGGTACGGTTGTCGGCGGAGGTGGCGGTGGAACGATGCCGCCACGCAGGGAGCTGCGCTGCTGCCGCCGCCGCTGCTGCTGCTGCAGTCGCTCTTGTGTCCCAACGACTGCCACGCTGCACGTGCTGCTGCTGATCTTGGCTCGAGGTAAGATTGAAACTTGCGCAGCCAGACAGCCAGCCAGGCAGGCATTCACTGCTGTGCCCGGTGTGGGTGTGTGGGTGTTCATCTGTCGGCTGTTGCCGTTGCGATTGTGACGGGCGCGCTCTGTTTTTCTTGTCAAAATGGGGCACTTTTGAGTGCCGCGCGTGAAGGTGCCAGAGCAGTCGAGACGCGTTGCGCATCGTTGAGAAATTTGCATCACAATAAAAGGGCAACTTTGCTACCGCATTCTTTCCCGTAAGCCGTGGAAGGCTTGCATATGAACGAGCACACACCTCTCGGTGGGAGGCAGGATGTGCGTGCGTGCTTATTTCCGATGTGTGCTCGTATCAGAAGTTGCCATCCGGGCCACCAGTGTGGTGTCAAGCGTGCGTGTTGCTTATAACAGAAGTGTGCTTGTTTTCGGCTGGAGGTGGTCCAGATTACGTGCGAATATTTGACGAGACTTTTCGTTTGTCGAAATTCGCGACCGACGTCAAAGTGTCCTCTCCGCGGCCAATCGCACGTCGCGATCGTGATCGTCACCAAACAAAAGTGCCACCGCCGGTGGCGTTGAGAACGATGTGACGCGCGTCTTTAATTACGTGCACACGGCATGTTTACATCCCTCTTTCCGCGACCGTGTGTGATGCGTTTGGAACAAAAAGTTGTTGGGGTGGGGAGGGTGGGCTTTTGTGAATGAGAAGGAGGGGGATGAGAAGAGCTTGGCGCGCACGCGAGAACCACCAATTTGCATCGGCATTCACAGAGGGCATCCGTTAAAGAAGCCCCCCCCCCCCGCTTCATTTCGCACCGCACTTTATAAATTATCTCCGCACCAGTCCGAGCGCTTGACCCGAGCGCTTTGACGGGGAACAGAAAAATTGTTGCGACAGCCTTTGAATACAAAGTGGTTCTTCACTATTTGATGCGCTAACGTTGTGCGCGTGCGAGCGCCGTACGTTTGCCATTGCTGGCAATAGGTGGGGTCCGAGGGGGAGGGTGGGCAAGGGGCACAACAGAAATCAGAAGCAACGCGGCAGATATTTACTGTTATGAGTCTTAAGCCGTTGCTGAGTTGGTACACTCGCTTGCGTGTAATGGGATTCTTTAGAATGTGGTTTATAGATGTTTAATGGTCCGACCTTGCTTCGCGGCTGTAACTTTGGTGCAACGAGGGAATTCGCGAGAACAATGTGTGGCCCAGGATGAAATGGTGTTGCGAAGCAACGACAAATTCAAATTGCACGAAATATTATTAGAGTGTGAATCTAATGAAATGACCGATTGGACAACGTTAGTGCGGATGTGGCCGTTAGCTATAGCGACCAATACACACTCATTAAATCTTGCTGCATGTCTTGGCCTGCATTGTTGTTTCTTGTATGGGGTTTTAATATCATTTTATAAACCAACGGGATAATGCAAATGAAGTTCTTGCTAAGACTAACATAATCCCATGACCTTCTGTAAGCTCTAGTTGTGCTCTCTGAAATGCATTTACAAATGCTCTGGGCAATTGCATTCTAGTAGGGTAGAGTTGTAACTATTAGTGCAGTTAATGAAATACGCGATTTTATCTACAGTGTGTCATTCTATTACACAGACAATAACCCTTGCAATAAATTTCACTTCACTGGAATGGCAAACCATGTCTGGGTCGTATGCAAAATGTAAACCTTAGGCTTAACGTTGAGCTTCTTTTATTTTTCAGATTAAACCGTGTCCATGTTAATGCCCTATGGAAAACAAATACAATTCAGACTCGTGCAGTCTTTAGGTTAACCTTCAAACAAACACCGGCTTAGATGTACATTCCAATTGTTTGCACAGTTTATTGCAACTGATATGTGCCATATGCTTTTTGAAGTGTACAAAGCTCGAACAGCAGCTGGTGTCTTCTACTTCTTGAGGGACGTCAACGCCGACTCCACACATTGTAAACAACCTGTTCCATGGATTAACAAACACCTGTAGTGTCCGCCCTGAATTTGGTGAGGTTTTCATTTTTTGTTTCTCTCTCATTTCATATCAAGGCTGCGCTGCGTGGCTTTGAAACGCCGCGACGTTTAATGGGGCCTCTACCGCTGCTAACGTCAAGCAAATTGACCAGCAGACAAATCGCCACGTGGACTTCTCTTGAAACCACATTTCAGTGAACCGTGTGTCCCAGTTCGAAGCTGTTTACTATAAACAAAAAAACCACCCCGCTAGGCATTAGAGTATCGCACTGCGGGTGAATTGCCTTGCCGTGAAATTTTATTTTTAAGGAATGGTGATGCTGGTGGAATTTGTTTACAAAGGATACTTCATCATCATGTGCTACGATGGCACTTCCATGTGTGGCTTAAATAGGGGCTTATAAATGTATATGCGGTCTACAATTGTCTCGATATGCAATGAGACGAGTGTGAAATTGGAGGACCGATTAACTCATCGTTCCATCTCACCGGATGAACGTCCTCCTGTCAGACGCGTTCCATTCCTTGGCTCCCACTCCATCGTCATTCTTAACGATCGTCCACTGCTCCCTTTCAGGACGTCACTTGTCACGCCCAAGCCCCACTCACTTTTCTCAACAGTTTGAATGATGCCACTAGCCACGTGTGTGTTCGATTCCATGCACAGTATTCATTCCTCGTGCCGTCTCCTCTAAGCAATTCCAAGCATAGGTCTGTGTGTGTCGTCTACCATTGCCCAACACATCTTGTATCGACGATGGCGTTAACGCTGCAGAATGGGTGTCTGGTTGTGCACGTGGCACCATCGCTAAATATCCTAGTAGAAATGAGGCTGCCACCACCTCGCTTTTTTTACACGCAGAGAGTGCATTAAAATAAAGGTAGAGCAGCAATAATATGAAGGAAAAAAACACTAAAAATTAAACAACATTCCGCGTGTCACAAACATACGATTAACCCATAATTGTACCTGCGCAGCACACGCAGGTTTAATACCTAACGGAGTACGTAATTCCCATACAGGATGGGAGTTGAACTAAGACATTGAAATAGGAACGGATGGATGAAACCCAAACTAGAAGCATCATATTGACTGCGAAGATAAGTCGGTGGAGTTTGGCGGGGCACCGCTGAAATGATGGCCAGAATGGACAGAATGGCAGACAAAGGAGAGTGTGGGGCCTAAAAAGATGACCACCATGAAGATGAGGTCAGCGCATATCGGAATCAGAATATGTAATTATACCTGGACGAATCCGATGAGCTAGAAAGGTCTTTTTCACAAATATCCAGTAAGGGCGGGACAGATAGTTACAACGAACAATACGAAACACGATAAGAGTGCATCATATATGAAAGGTAAGCAAATCGCTAAAAATGAAAGTAATAACAAGACTAAACTCTTTTTATGTTACCAAGCAAAGCCCACTGAGCTTTGAACTTTTTCAGAAACGACCTGGCCGCAAATGATAGCTCAACGAAGTGGCTTATCATGTGCATATTTATATTAGCAACCAGATATTCTAAACGCAGGTTTCTAAATGTGGAGGGAAAACCCGGAGGTACCCGTAGAAAAATTATCCACGCGACCACGGCGAGATACATGCAAGGGGCCAAATATGCAGACGCCAGGGTAGGGGATCTAACCCCCGACCTTCTGCATACCAGGAAAAACCAATGTGCACTGCGAGACTGGGTTGGATGACAATGTAGGCGACGGGGGAATGGCTTTAGTCCAGCAGTAGATCGATTATGGATGATGATCATTGTGTCGAAATAGTCAGTGTGTTTTATTATCATTATCGCAGAGTGGAGCCTTGCTTTTAAACGACTAACAGCTTTTGTGTGGGGACATTGCAGTACAATGCTGCTCGTGTGCGATTACTTTAGACCTCTAACTGTAAATAAACCGGTGGGATTGTATTATCACGTCTTACAGACTATTCAGCAAACACAATCAAACACTCCTTAGTGGATTACCTATGTACAGCAAGGTTATTTTTTATAGTATATCTGAATTACATTGGTTTAATATTAACATTTTTTGAATTTGGAAGTTCTTTAATTCCACTGGTTTAAAATTCTCCGCGCATTGCTTGTATAAATACGAAATTTTACGAGAATAATTGCATAACTGAGATGTCATATTATTCATTTGTTTGCGTGTGTGTTCTTTGCCGATTGTGTCGAATCGAGTTCAGGCCCATCGTACATCTTTGGTTCAGCAGCGGAAATAACCATTATGAGCATCATGCTGCTCGGCCTCAGTTGGTAGCATTACTCTCTCTATTTATATATCACGATGTTAGAGTGCCTCTGGAGAAATGTTTTAACGCTTTAACTACCATTTCCCAGTCATTTGTATTTACATATTCCTTGGGTTTTTCGGTAAAGCCACGTAGATAGAAAAAAAAATCCAAATAATAACAATTTCACGACGTTTCGATGGCAACACAAGCAATCGTCTTCAGGTGAAAAATAGACGATTGCATGTGTTGCGATCGAAATGTCGTGATATTGTTATTATTTAGATTTTTTTTCTATCTACGTGGCTTTACCGAAAGACCCAAAGAATATGAATTCCTGCAGTCACCAAAGCTTTAAGTCAGGATTTGTATTTAATTAAAGCAATCAATAGCCTAAAGTCCATTCATCGCTGTAGCCCCACTTCTCTTGCAAAACATCCACTTTTCTCTCTCGCCGCGTGCCCCCATGAAAGTTAAATTGTTATTTTTTTTTCATTTTACTTGTACAAGATTAATAATTTTAGCAGGACGTTGAGGGCAACTGACGTAAGAGCAATATTTAATCATATTAAATGACAGCATTGTTTCATGACAAGGCCAAAAGTCAGAGTCCATTGACAGGCCAATACATTGTACTGTATTGAGCTTCCCATGCACAGAAAGTGATTAGACTTTAACTGATTATATTGAACGATGTCTGGATGTTGCGGTGGAATCGTGCTTAATTTTTTCCGCAATTAATATGCATTAACAATATTGAACATATGCTGCGTTAAATTATGACTGCGGGTATTTGCTA